TCTTACTACTTGAGGGAGCCACCTACTGCCTCGGCGAACACCGTTCGTTTAACGCAAATCGACGCATTTGTCAAAAAATTGGATGAAATTTGCCTTCTAACTTTTGATATTTCTATCACTAGGTGACTGCACAATGTTGAAGGATTTCAAAACCTTTTAGACAGCTAGTAGCAGTAAAACAAATCACTTGTGTACAAATCCATTAGGGTTGCAGTTTTATCTGCATTCATTCAGGAACCCGACCCACGAAGGACAAGCCAACCACGTGTGCAACACAAACGATGTGGTCTCACGACCGACACTCGTTTACAACTACAAACTCAAGTCTTGAAAATGATGGTCCAGCTGAACCCCAACTCTTGTCCCCACAAAGGCGAATCATAATGGCCTCGTAATTAGTCAACGCACATCGTACGGTTTTCGTGTTACTGCACCTCGTGCAAATGAATAAATAAAAAATAAATAAATAAATAAATAAATAACAACTCTTCCAGCATTGATCAATAGCTAGAACCCAAAGGAAATTTAAGCACAGTGACTCATCACTCCATGGTGGAGTAGAGTATTTAGTCCTGATGAGCACCACTCACGATTCGTCAGAGATAGCTGAGTAAATGTTTGTGGCGAAGAAAAGGGCATGATAGTTACACGCTTCGTTTTGCCGCTTGTTACCGTTCATCTCAGAAAAATACAATATATATATCGTCATTTGTTGTCTTCTTTATTCAGTAATCCTCGAGGAAAAATGTTCGAGAGATCCAAAATCTTCCGCCCACCGGGATCTTTCCCCATATGAGGGTGACCGGTAAGAACCTTGGCACATCGAGAAATACACTCACTTGAACAATATCACAAACGAGGGTTTTTTCTGGGATTCAGGTGGGTCTACCGTGAAAACGAAATACGTATGCAAATGAGTGTATTCGAAGGGAGCTGACAAACTTTTCTAGGTTGGTCGTGCAAGAACAACGAGTCTTAGAGACTGTTTCATAGCGGGAACTACTCACAAGGTTGCTGAAAACTCTTCGACAGCCCACGACCGGTTTCGCCATTCCACTTCTGGCTCATCAGGTAGGTGCAATCACCTACCGTCAACCTTATGTTCTACTTGAACCCAAATTGGACTGTTTTCGAGAAATACACTTATTTTCAAATAAATTCTCTAAAATATCATAAACGAGAGACTTAGTTAAGTCTCTCGTGGAAACTAAATTGATTTGCAAATGAGTGTTAGTGTATTTCTCGAAAACAGTCCAATTTGGGTTCAAGTAGAACATAAGGTTGACGGTAGGTGATTGCACCTACCTGATGAGCCAGAAGTGGAATGGCGAAACCGGTCGTGGGCTGTCGAAGAGTTTTCAGCAACCTTGTGAGTAGTTCCCGCTATGAAACAGTCTCTAAGACTCGTTGTTCTTGCACGACCAACCTAGAAAAGTTTGTCAGCTCCCTTCGAATACACTCATTTGCATACGTATTTCGTTTTCACGGTAGACCCACCTGAATCCCAGAAAAAACCCTCGTTTGTGATATTGTTCAAGTGAGTGTATTTGCCGAATCCGTGCAATCTGGGTTTCAGCAGAGCACGAGATTGATGGGAACTCAGGAACTGTGCTTATCTGATGAGCCACCAGAAGTATGAAACTAGTCGTGGGCTGTCGAAGAGTGCTCAACAACTCTGTGAGTAAATTCTGTGTTAGTTCCTGTTCGTTGCGTTGGTGCGATTCCTTAGCGAGGCGCCACAGAAGAAAACTTATCACGAAGATTTGTTATCGTATAACAGCGAAAACAGTTGGGTGTTTTGGAGATCGACAATTACTCGATCATCGTGCACTGTTTCCCCCATTCTTTAGCTGTCCCCAACACTTGGTGTTGAAACGCCTGTCCAAGCCTCAATCAAACTAAGTCGAGTGAAGTTTACTGACAATATAAGGAGATTCGGATTCTTCTTGTAAGTGAAGCTCATCTATGCGGAAAGCCGAGAAGTCCTGCGAAACCATTTCACTTCTATTCAGAATCCCGCGAACTCGAACTCGTGACCTACGTTTTGGAAGTTTTGAGCACGGAATGGCTTGGCCATGAGTTGCAATTTACAAGTATGACAAACTAGCACTCAGATACGGTATGGCTTTGTTCACCTTTCAGTGAAGCAGTCCGTGGTATCTCCATGGTTAGAGGGCGAAATTACTTGCCGTGGTTCGAACCCAGTCCTGGTATCTTGACTGAACTTATCTAGGCTTGAACAATCTGGAACTATCTCAGTCCTCTTGTTTCGGGCGGTATGGCACCGGAAGGATGTTGCGGTCAAACAACTATTTTCATCATCAAGCAGTTGAATTCACGTGTATCGATTTACTTGTCCAGTGCCAACCTCCTAGGTTGAAAGTTCATTCTTCACATGAATTGTATTTCCTTCTTAATTACCGATTTCTTGTTTGAGAGATGCTTTATCCTAGGTAAGAGTTAATCATAGTGCTGGTCAGTCAGCGGTGGCCGAACAATTTGGCACTAGGATGAGGCTCAGTGAGAAACGCTTTATCGATTGGGAAGTATGGTGATAGCTCACCAATAAATCTGAGTTTGCAGCCCAAGGCATCTATAGGAGAGGATTTCATTCCGACTGGCCCTCGAAAACTTCCTATTGGTTCTGACAAATCCTTTGTGTTACTCAGCACTACATGTTCCACCGTCTCCCTTCATTGTAAGAAAATCAGACTAATTTTTAGTGTTTTGGTGAAGCGGTGGTTACCACATTTGTTTGCTGCTCGAAAACCAATTTTTCCCAATGCCCTCCCCTCTCGATGTCTGAAATTTGTCCAATACAAATAATCTTCGAGACACCGCCTCAGTGGAAAGGATCATGTAAACTTAAACATTAAAAAGAGTCACAAAAGCTCATCTGTTTCGAATTTGAAGAGTTTTCTCAACTGTTTGATGAATAACTAACGTTGTTTGCTTGATAACCCGTTCCTAAACTAAGATTTAGGATGGGAGAACTGTTGACGTCATGTTCTGGGTTTTTTAGGACCATAGATCTGGCTCGCAGAGAATATCGACCTAGTGAACACGTGAGCAAAAATTTTGTATCCCGGTGTGACTATGGGTACTACTGATGGGCATGCGAGTAGAATGCTTCCTCGTAATCCGCTTCGCCGTCTCCTTAAAAGTGAGATCTATTACGGAATTTGTGGAGTCGCTTGGTAGCATTTGCTTGCATCTGAGTAACAGTCAAT